CGGAAAGCCGGGGTCTCCCTCTGCCTCAGGAAGCCGGCCGGCTTCTCCGTCTCCCAGTACTGCCCTTCGGCGGGTCACGTGGCCACCTCCCGTCACCCGCAGTCCCAGCAGTCACAGGCGAGAGATTCCCAGCCGTCTCACCGTCCAGAACCCCGCAGCTCCGTCTCCTCCGCTTCACTCTCAGGACCCCCCTCTTCCGTAAGATCTCAGTCGGGGACTTTAGCAGCTTCCATGGGGAACATCAAGGGAAGGAGGGCGGTTATCCTGCGGAGAGCGCTCACATCGCCCTCTCTCACACCGCCAAGATTAGGCTCCTCCAGGATTTCTCTTTTTTTTTTGGAGAGATCTTCCTTCTCTTCCTGTTGTTTTGCAAAAAAGGAAGTGAACAAAAATATCTTCAATGGAATACAAACAGCAAAAAAAAAAACTTGACAGAAGTATTTATCATTTCTTACTCCATCCAAAACTAAAAAAAAAAAAGTTTTTGCTAGAGATATACTGTACATTAAGGCTAAATTGGGCAAAATTAAAGCAGTATTAAACCCTCGGCATTTTTGTTTAACCTCGTTGAGCACAATAAAATAAACATTCCCCAGTAAACAATTTGTTAAAATTCTTACCCCGCACTTGCAGTTTACAACTTTCAATCCTGCTGTCTCAGTACTGCTTCCCTGAACTTTCCGTTTTCACAGGAAAGAGTTAAATATGGATAGAGCAGTCTGGAACAGGGAGGGGGATGCAGAGGGAGGGGCAGGGAAGTGCCTTGCCATCCTAGGTTATGGAGCTGTGTGTTTTCTATTGATGCGCACAGTGGCAGGTCCGTCTTAATAGCATCATAGACCCCTGAGCAAAGTACTTGACTGGGGCCCCTTCCAGCCTGCCCCAACTTACGTACATACTCTCAAGAATTAAAGTATAAATAGTTGATAGGATTAAACATACATTGATTAGTACTTTCAATAAAATTGATAATAAGAAAACATTGCATAAATCAAAGACTAATCAACACAAAGGGGACAGTACAACAGGGGGATCATCCTGGGAGATGGGGGATCGCATACTGGGATCAGGAAGGCACAAAACAGGTTCTGGGATGCTGCCTGCTCCACCTTGGGACAGTTTAGTGAAAAACATGTCTGTCCTAGCAAGTCCAGGACAGTTGGCAAGTATGATGTGATGCTGGATTATCATGGGGCCCCTTTGCACCTGGGGCCCCTTCTTCCCCCCTTCCTCCTCTCATGCAGGTGTGCTTCTCAGCCTTCTGACCTTACTGTGTACACACAGCCATGGTCCATCCATCCACTCATCCCTATTCTCATGTACCTTCTAGGCATTTTAACACACCTACAAGTGTACCATCTTGCCCTTATCCATACCTCAAGGTTTGTGATTATTATACTGAAATACACTCTGCATAATTGATCCAAGAATGTGCTATAATCAATATCTCTAAACACCTGTCATCTATACCGGTATTCATTTATACTAGCTACCGGGGCGGACTGACAATTCATGGGGCCCCCGGGCAATAGGGGATCATGGGGCCCCTTTGTCCTTGCCCACACTCAAAAAAAGCCTATAAAATGTACCAGGGGCATTTCATGGGGCCCCCTACTGACCCCGGGCCCTCGGGCAGTGCCCGAGTTCTCGAATGGTCAGTCCGCCCCTGCTAGCTACCATGTGTCCAGATGTTATTACCATCATCATCATTATCATCAGATGTGCATTATCATCATATCTTTTGCATCTAGCTGATTTACTACCCTTTACATCACCCACACACATTAGGTGCTGCTAATTAAGACACAATGTCAGTTCCTGGTCTGTCCCTCCTTCACAGAAATCGGTTCCTATGCTAAACAATCTGTCCCTAACTAGGGGGGGTTCTGTTCCTGACCTGACCACTCGTGGAATGCGCACCAACTAAAGGGTGACAGTGCTATTTATTAGCCAATCGGACAGCTGCTCCCCAAAGACACCAACGTAGGTGTCACAGGAACATGAGTCCCCTATTGTCCTCCGCTCCCTCTTCACGGCAGCTGCTGAACAGCGCCACCCTTTGCAGAGATGCCAAACTAAACCTGCCTACAGGGTGCAGGCAGAGGATCCCCACAAGGTCGGTGAGGTTGTGAGGGGAGGGTGCTGCATAGTAACATGTTACCTATCCTGTAAACTGGAACATTAGCAAAGATTAAAAGATAAAGAAAGATACTTACTCAGTAAGTGAATAAATCAGCTTCTGAAAGTTTAATATCATTTTAAGAACTAACTTTAAACCCCAACTCTGGGCACAATAACCGTATTAATGTTATAGCAGTTATGCTGTCTAATTCCTTTGCACCAAGCACAACCAGCATTATGCAGGCTTTCTTCTAAATCCATCAAATCTGCTTGTATACATGCTGAATCAATACAGTTCCCACTTTACTTCTGGGCCACTCTGATGAAAGAACTGCAGGTCCCATTGACCCCAGCACTGTGGTTCTGTACCCCCTTCTGTTCTGTTTTGTAAATGCCTGAAGGAGAGAGGAGTGAAGACAACACTGGTCATATTGCATTTGATGCAAAGGAATATACAGTATAACTATAACTATAGCCATGGTAAATTTATTCTGCCGCTGGGTTTAAAAATAGATTTTACAGATATTAGAGGCCATTTCAACTGCTTAAAAATATTGTGTCTGAAGATGCAAAACAATATTAGTTTTAGATGCGTGACCATAATTTCATATGACCCAACAGAATGGACTGGATTTGTACACAAATGATCATGGCTCTTTTGGCAAGATTATAGTTCATGAATTTCATTGTTCATTAAACAACAACCATATTCATCTTTGTTGTGTAAAACATAAACGTAGATTGCATTATGCTCTGGATGTTCAGGATAACAAATAGACTTTTCATAAATGATTAAACATTGTTTAAATGCTGCAATATTTTATGGCAATTAGAGATGTCATATTATTTATACCAGAAGAAAGTTGAGCAAAGATTTAATGAGGTCTGGGCTCAGGATGAATGTGGCCTTCAGCGAAACTCCTTAACCCTGGCATTTTGAGAATTTTACAAGTTGAAGACATCATTATGTGAATTTGCTTTATATTGTACATGAAAAATGCCACTCTCTACCAGTATAGTATTGGTATGAGGTAATAGTATTTTCATTTTACCATTCTAGTCCTAGAATTTGTCTTTGTACTAATGTAAAACATTACATCTTCCATATGCCACCTAAAACAGTTTTATTAGTTTTGGTTGAACATCTTTGGAGTCACTTACTACAGTATGTTATAATTATTTACAATACAGTTGTCAACCAAGAGCTTGTGGTAAAACTCATTTGCTTTGTTAGGATTTACGAGTCACTGGTTGGATTAATAATTTAATGAAATATGCTTGCACTAAGTATATTCTAGTTAATTAATATAAAAAAATCACCACAGCCACATCCGATTCCTCTACACCAATTCAATACAAGTGTGGTGCATTCCCCAAACACTGAACCAATAATCCAAACAAAAACTGAAAAAATAGGGGTTAATAAGTATAACAAATTATTTTAAGATTACAAGAATGTATTAAAACATTTTATGACCATCCACCAATATAACAGACAGATCTGGCATTAAAAAGCCAGCAAAGGGAATTGCTACAATGGACTCCGCCTGACTCCTGCCCGCCCACTCTTAGTCCCTTAATGAAACATACCATAAGAGTCTGAGACTCCTTAAAATACTTTAGCAACTTACTTTCTTCCCAACTTCCCTTACACCCTATCATAGAGAGTTCCCTCTTTCCACCAGGGTTGGAATTCCACTCTTCCTTTTTTTGGTGGACCACACATAAATTCACCACAATCCATTCCCTTTTGGAACAGAGGTCTGTCATATCCTGGGTGGCCCTCCAGAACTGATTTAAGGCCCCCCCCCACTCATTTGGGGTTTGCCTTCCCAGAGACCCTTGGCTGGTCCTTCTACACTGCAAACGTCAGGGTATTGCTAAACACCAGATCAAGCTCCTCCACTTTGTCCTATTAGCCTCCAAACTAACTATTGCTGGGTCAAGGAAAAAACAATCCACCCGCTTCTCTGTAGTCGAATCCTGAATAGATGGCATTTTGTGAATGAACAGCTGACCAGCATTCTCACCAATACCCAAGAAAAAATCCTCAAAATCTGAGACCTGTTGATCATTTATCACCAACCAAATATCAATATCTAATGTGAGACAGTGTCCCAGGCCACAAGTGGATGAGGACACCCCCCTCTTCATTGTGCTTCCACCTCTTTCCATCCCTCCCTTCCCCCTCTCTACACTCTTCTAAACTCTCTCTTTCCTCTTGATCTCCTCTCATGTTTGCATGATGTCTGCTGCAGTGCTGACACATTGTTACACAAGCCATGTATTGTATGTACCTACTCTCTCATATCTGCACAACCCCCGACACTGGGAATGTGACAGTTTTCTCCCTTGGAGAAATTTTGTACAAAGTTATAAAAGTATTTGTACTTGATATTGTACTGTTTTTCATTTGGGACTCCATTACACGAGTCTACCTGAGATGTGTGTTACATTGAGTACATTGTTTGGACTCTTTTTATTCATTTTGTAAAACAAACATATCAAAAGTGAAAAAGCCACCAAAGGGGTCTCCCACAAAATCATACCACAGCCTGATATTACCTTGCTATGAGCTACCTGCCCTGATCCCTTATAAATATTCTTACTATGTATCTATTTTCTCAAAGCAGGCTTTTTTTTATATTTCAGTTCATGTAGGTTTATACTGTGTTGTCTTGGTTAGTCTTCAAATACACATTTCCTTGTCCTTTATATTTAAGCTTCACTGCTCAGACCTTTATACCTGCCTACCAAAGTCTACTTTTTAAGTGCAAATCATGTGAGTCTTGTGTTTGTTGTACCTCCAGATCTTTTAGCTTGGCAAGCTGCTAAGTATTTCTTTTTAGGCTGCAACAAGAGGCAACCAGCAAATAAGAATGGAACAGAGGAACCCTCCAGTTGATGATTTCTCCCTCAATGTATTTTCCGTTACCCCATTCACAAACAACCAGCTGGATGTTCAAGTCTCGGAAAGTGATAAAGCTGGAGCCACCTTACTTTTCTCTGGAATCTTTGTGGGACTTGTTGGAATCACATTTACTGCAATGGGATGGATCCAGCGTGATGGCAAGAATAGGTTTGAGTGGACCCAGTTGCTGGGACCCATTCTATTATCAGTAGGGGTGACCTTTGCACTGATATCCGTATGCAAGTTTAAACTGCTGTCATGTAAGCCATGTAAGAGAAATGAGGATACGGCACTAGAGGCAGATCAACATTCAGCTGGACAGTCCTTTGTTTTCACTGGAATAAACCAACCAATAACTTTCCATGGTGCTACTGTGGTACAGTACATTCCTCCTCCATATACTGCTCAAGATGCCAATGAATCGACACCTCCCACGTCCCCAGCTGCCACTGGTAACAATGGATCTAATGCTCCTATTGTGATGCCACCCCCAGTATTTCCCCCTGAATATTGCAATGTTTATGCAAGGGACAATCCAGCATTTGTGGAAGAAAATACAAACCTGCAGCTTACAGACAGGTATGTGCCTATTTTTCACTCTGTGCTAAATTTTCTTAAAGTGATTGTAAACCTCAGACAAGACATATGAGCACAACATATTTCTTTAAAGTGTGTACTTGTTACAATTCTAAGCACTAAGAGTCATTTCTGTTTGCTGCTTTGTTCCTCTGCTATCAGCATGAATCACTTCTGAAAGTTTTCCTGACACCAACAGAAAAATGGTGACAGGGGAGGGATCTCCAGCAGATTGAAAGCCTCAGCTCTATTCCTGTGTGTGTGTGTGTGTGTGTGTGTGTGTGTGTGTGGGGGGGGGGGTCTCTTCCTTCCAATCAGCTCTCAGAACTCTCCTCACTGAACTCTGCAGAGTAGGCCCAGACTGGGACAAAAAATAGGCCCACGCATTTTGGACTGAGCAGCCCCAAGCCCGGGGAACCTTTCCTCGGAGCGAAACGCCATGGCCCGTTTGCAAGAGCGATCTTTGCGACCCTGGTAGTTCCGCCACTAGTGTCAGTAGGTTTTTATTTTTATTTAATTTTTTACAATTTTATATATATATTTTTTTTTTATTATTTTTTGTAGGAGAGAAAGAAGAATGAAAAAAGAGAGAGAGAAAGAAAGGAAAGGAGGGAAAGAAGGAAGGAAGGAGGGAAAGAAGGAAGGAAGGAGGGAAAGAAGGAAGTATGGAAAGAAGGAAGTATGGAAAGAAGGAAGAAAGGAAAGAGGGAACAAAGGAAAGAGGGAACAAAGGAAAGAGGGAACAAAGGAGGAAGGAGGGAAAGGAGGAAGGAGGGAAGGAGGAGGGAAAGGAGGAAGGAGGAAAACAGGAGACACAGGAGAAAGAGAAAAAGAAAGAAAGAAAGAAAGAAAGAAAAAAAAAAAAAAAAGAAAGAAAAAAAAAAGAAAAAAAAAAGAAAGAAAAAAAGAAAGAAAGAAAAAAAAAGAAAGAAAAAAAGAAAGAAAGAAAGAAAAAAAAAAAAAAAAAAAAAAAAAAAAAAAAAAGAAGAAAGAAAAAAAGAAAAAAAAGAAAGAAAGAAAGAAAGAAAGAAAAAAAAAAAGAAAGAAAGAAAGAAGAAGGAGGGAAAGAAGGAAGAAGGGAAACAGGAGACAGAGAAAGAGAAAGAAAGAGAGAAGTATAGAGAGAAAGAATGAAAGAAAGAAAGAAAGAGAAAGAAAGAAAGAAAGAAAGAAAGAAAGAAGAAAAAGAAAGAAAGAAAGAAGAAGGGGCAGAGAAGATACAAGGCTGGCGGGGAGTGTGGGTGGGGCAGACACAGGAGGAGAGGGCGGGAGGAGGAGAGGCAGAACCAGCTTTCTCTCTCCTCTCCGGTCTGTGGTGGGCGGTGAACTATTAGCACTGGGCACAGTCTATCCTGATAGATCGCCCACAGCAGCCGCAGGGATTGAGAAACCTGGCGGCAGCACTGCAGGAGATGAGGGGGGGCCCGCCACGGGGGAACATACAGGAACCCAGGGCATGCAGGCGATGATAGGAGGGGCGGCCGGGTGGCACATAGAGGAACCGAGAAATGCACAGTCCAGTTCCTCTATGTGCCACCCGTTCGCCCCTCCTATCCAGGCAGCCCCAGCCCACTAGGCAAATGCCCGGTGTGCCCTATGGCCAGTCCGGGCCTGTAATTTCAGCTCCCCGCCCACTTTATTCTTAATTCTAGACAAGCTTTATAAATTATGGACTTTGGACAGATCTTGAGAAGAGAAGACTGCAGGTAGTCAGGTACAACTTATGTTGGAGGATTTGTTTCTTCTCTGGTGTATCACCTGAGGCAATCACATCACTGGATATATGTAGGGGTTTACAATCACTTTAAAGCTGAAGTTTAGGTATGTCTCTTTTTTGCTCAGTTACATTGATCCAGCTTGGACCACTGTAAGTATGTATTTTCATACCTGGGTGATCCCTGTGGATGCTGAAAGTCATTGTAGTAAGCACCGCCACTACAGTGTGAGCCACTAGCTTCCAGATCCTGACCCTAGCAGCAAACTTACTGCAAAGGGTTGCTTGCTCATCAGGGACCCCATACAGAGAACATTTTACATGTTTTTTAAAGAATACAAAGCACAGTGCATTCACTGAGAAAATTGCATGGTGTTCTGGCTCCCATATACTGAACTGGGCTCTGGGCCCTGAAGCTAGCAGCTATCGCTGTAGTAGCCAGGCTACTACAGTGATTTCCAGCTTCCACATGTATCCAAACTGCAACCAATGTTATAATGTAACCAATTTAATTAGAAGAAAAAGGCCATGCATAAAAACTGCAGCTTTAATGTTATTAATTTTATGTTATTACAGGTCTGAAATGGGTTTAGACTATTGGGATAGTGTGAAAATAGGCTTGCATGAGACAGGTGCATTTTTGTTCAAGTTCAGCACTCTCCTACTGTATGTTACTAGGCAAATCTCGCTTTGGATCCTTCTGTAATCAGAGGAGAGGTGATTGTTTAGTCTGCTTGTTCAAAGTCTCACAGGCTGGGAGTATGATTGCTTCCTCCTGTCTCTGGAAAAAGCTTCAATGGCTCCTGCTTCTGTTTCAGCCAATGAGAAGAGGGAGTCTCGGGATAGCTGAAACTCCAGTGCACATCACTGGATCAAGAGGAGGCTTAGGTGAGTATTAGGGGGGCTGGGGGGGATGCTGCACGGAGAAGGTTTTTTACCTTCATACAACATAGATTGCATGTAGGTAAAAAACCTTGAGCCTTTAGAACCAATTTAATGTTTGACCAAGAAACCAAGAAAAACAATGACTGTGTCCTTTCCAGAGTCCTGCCCCAGCTTCCCTTTATGATTACCCTTTATGTGAAGGAGAATTTATAAATCCCTTACTAAAGAAGTGATTTTTTTTGTATACTAGGTCATGAGATTAATCCATCTAAAATGTTTAAATGTTGAATGAGGTGAAACTATATGAACTTCTTTTATCTGCTTGTGAGATCTCTGCATGCCTGTAAAATGAAGTCTTCTTGTTTGATTGTTTTGTTTTAAAGAAAAGGTTGAGTGATAACTAGGGGCAGGAAAAGGATGAAAATGTAGGATAGGCAGGATGATTCATCCCACTATCATCAGCATGGGGTTATCCTTTATTAGCTATCCATTTTAACACTGAATGACTTTATATTTATTTATTGCAAATATTTATATAGTGCTGTCAATTTATGCAGTGCTTTACATATATTCATTCATACATACATACACATATTAGGGTCAATTTAGACATGAGCCAATTAACCTACCAGCATATCTTTGGAGTGTGGGAGGAAACCCAAATGGGCACAGGGAGAACATGCAAACTCCAGGCAAGTGGTGCCATGGTTGGGATTTGAACCAACGACCCTAGTACTGCCAGGCGGAAGTGCTAACCATTTAGCCACTGTGCTGCCCCTGTATAACCTGGGTACCAGGTTGTCAGTGAAGATGGACCCCTTTGAAAAATAGTTTCTGGAACTCAAGTGTAATCCCTCTTTCCCATCCCTTTCTACCACTCAGCAATGTTTCCACTGTGCTCCCATACTTTCACAATTAAAAGTAAGCCTTCAGAACACCTTTTTTACTTTACATGTGACCCTCCGCATTGCCTCTTCTAGGTGTGTAGATTAGTGATCCACTGCTGCAGTCTCAGCCCGCTGCCAGCCAGTCTTTTTTCCATGTCATGTCACATGCCATGTCTTCTAAAACCTGTGAAAACCCTGCTACTGGATAGCCAATGGGATGTGTTCACATCACCAGGGCAGGGATGTGGGGAACAGAAACCAGACCCTCCCACTCTGCAGGCCAGAAAAAGAGACTTGGGACCGGTTTTGTCGCATAACCACGGATTCAGGTAAGTATTTGGGACTGTTAGACTTTCTTTTATTAAATCTAGCAATTAGAAGGGTTTTAGTTAATAAGTAGTAGTATGGGGGTGGGATTTTCAGCCATGAAAGATTTATGGCTTTAGATTATTATTATTATACAGGATTTATATAGCGCCAACAGTTTGCTCAGAACTGTACATTATAATGGGAGACAGTACACAAGGCAGTACAGTAACAATACAATTCAACACACGAGGGGTTCGGGGGTCCTGCTCCTTGGAGCTTACAATCTAGGAGGGAGGGGATAGTGGTACAGGAGGAAATAGCTGTGGGGGATGGAGTGGTAGGAAGAGTGGAGGAGATCGGCAATTAGCTGAGGGCAGGGTAGGCTTCCCTGAAGAGATGGGTTTTCACGCCTAAAGGTGAGGAGAGTAGGTGATAGTCTATTGGATTGGGGTAGGGAGTTTCCAGAGGATGGGGGAAGCCCTGGAGAAGTCCTGGAGACGGGCATGGGAGGAGGAGACAAAGGAGCTAGAGAGTAGGAGGTCTTGTGAGGAGTGGAGAGTACGCTTTGGGTGGTATTTGGATACCAGATCGGTGATGTAGTTTGGGGCAGTATTATGAACAGCTTTGTATGTCAGTGTTAGCATTTTGAAATTTATCCGTTGGGCAATTGGAAGCCAGTGGAGGGATTGGCAGAGGGGGGTGGCGGATACGGAGCGGTTAGTAAGGTGGATGAGTCTGGCCGCAGTATTCAGGATAGAATGAATCGGGGATAGCCTGCGGTGAGGTAAGCCAATGAGGGAGTTACAGTAGTCAAGTCGTAATGTAACAAGGGAGTGAATAAGTTGCTTAGTGGTTTCCAGGGTTAGGAACGGACATATTTTGGAGATGTTGCGGAGGTGAAGTCTACATGAGTTTGTCAGCGATTGGACCTAGGGCTGGAAGGACAGATTGGAGTCTAGGATGAAGATAGAAAGATGCTAGCAAGGTTATTTTAACAGAACATACTAGATTCAACTACAAAAAATAATTAAACATTCTAAACTTTATTTCTCCAATTTTACAGACCTCAGTGCTGCAGAGGGCAGAATGAACAGCTCCAGAGTGTAAATGCACACAGCAGCCCACCACCTTCATATGATGAAATATTTCCTGAATTCAACTAATTCATTCATACAGAAGTCTCACCTACCATTGTTAAGTGGGGATTGATTGAAGTCAAATTCTAATCACAAGCCTGGATTCTTGGATGGTGTAATATATTTTCTGGCCCTGGAAAGT